CAAGGCAAGCACTCTACCACTGAGCCACTTTCCCTGCCCAGTTTATATGGTTTTATATCATGTAGCTGATTATCTATCTATGTATATAATATACTTGCATGTAGGATCATTATCCATCTCAAGATATGGAATATGCCCATCCCCACAAAGGCATCAATTCTACTTTCACAGTATTTGCTTACCTGCTAAGACCTATTTGCAGAAGTTAGATTGAGTTGTAGGAATCAATTGGGATCCTCAGGCACTCAGAGACTAGCAATAGTTAGAACTCATTATGGCCCTAGATTTGATGTAGGGCCTTACTGTGAAGGACTGGTGAGTCTCTAGAAGGGAAATTGAGTTCCTGACAGGACTGTACTAAAGCAGTCTCTCGCTGAATGCCAGCCAGATAAGAGGAGCCTGGAAATAAAACCTAACTTCTACTCAGCACTTCAACCTCTTGCTTCCCCCGGTCAAACTCAGGGGACAAGGACACCCAGGTATGCTATTTATAAATGTCAGCTTCTTCAGGAACAAAGTGAGGTAGAGAAAAATGGAGAATGAATGCAATAGTATGAGAGACAGACAACCATAACCAGCAAAGAGGGACTCATGCACTTCTCTATTTCCCATAGCATTTGGTATATTATTTGCTAGAAGGGAATGAACAATATGTGGCTTGTTGCTTGAGTTGTTAGGCAATTCATGATTGCCCAGTGTTTTAATTAAAAATTATGATTATGATTGGGTATGGCCGCTCATACCTATAATCCTAGCTACACAGGAGGCTGAGATCTGAGGATTGTGATTCATAGCCAGCCCAGGCAGGAAAGTCCTTGAGACTCTTATCTTTATTTAACCACCCAAAAACTGAAAATGGAACTGTGGCTCAAGTGGTAAAACATGAGGCTTGATCTAAAAAGCTATGGAACAGTTCTGATCTAAAAAGCTATGGAACAGTTCCCAGGCTCCCAGCCCAAGTCCTAGTACTAGCGTGCACGCACACACACACACACACACACACACACACACACACAATTGTGGGTTAGAAATAGTGCTGTAGTCTAAATGTTTGTGTGCCCTCTACCAAACAGTCATATATTAAAACTTGTTCCCCAGTATAGTCCTATTGGGAGGTGGCATATGTGAGAAATGATTATGTTATGACTATACAACTCTTCAAAATGTGATCACTGCCCTATAAAAGAAGCTAGAGGGAAATTATTCCCTCCTTCTACCATGTGAGGATGCAGGAAGCAGATGCCACAAACAAGACAATGAGACTGTTGTCCTCTTGAACTTGGACATCTCATCTTCTGCAATGATCAGAAGTAAATATCTATTGCTTATATATTATTCAGACTAAATATCTAGTGCTTTTTACATTACTCAGTCTACGATGTTATAACAGCCCAAATGGACTAAACTAAATAGCAACCATACAGATATTTAAAAAGAAATGGAAACTATTAAGTTCTATTTAGACCCATCAGATTTTCAAAAGTTAAATGGGAAAAAATAATGCTTCTCCAAAACTGTGCTGGTGATTCGGCATTGCATAGGTACTCAACAACTCTAAGTTTCAAGACAGTATTTGTTCCACAAATATTAGGATCATAAGTCATTAAATACCTATTCTTGTAATTATAGTAAGTCCTTTTATAATACACTTAAAGGGGGAAGAGGAAAATATTTTACTTTGTAATATTTGGTGGAGCAATTTCATGACTAGTTAGCTGGTTCTACTCAAGTATTACATTTGTAGAAATTTAGTGACCATGGTTTACTCTGGGGGCTTTGATGCAGAAACACTTACTTTCTTTGGATAAAGACCATAATACAGTTCAATAGAAGATATTTCTTATAGAATAGTTGCTCATCCTCAGTAGAAATTTTGTTCATTAGTATCATATGAATGCAAATCTTCTCTTGAACATATCTTTAATTAGATTTACTAAAGAACATTGATTTAAATGATACCATTTTGTTCAAAATATAAAGTCTTATCAAACCTCAATATGGTTTGGAAACAGAGACAATGATCTGTTGGAGGCTTTCACTTAGTTCCAAAGGAAGGCAATGCAAATCAGAATCCTGGAAGATTCTACCACTGAGGAGTCCTGACAAACTTAGGTGAAGCTTTTGCAAATCTCAGATTTTCCTTCCTTACTTCCTTCTTTCCTTGCTTTTTTGGTGGTCATTGTACTTGAACTCAGGGCCTGGGCACCAGCCCTGAGCTCTGTTGCATAAGGCTATCTCTCTACCACTTAGAGAATCTCACAGGGCTAAGAATCTCACAGGCTTTCCTGCCTGGGATAGCTTTGAACTACCATCCTCAGATGAATAAATAGGATACAGGTGTGAGCTACAATCAACTGGCACAGACTTTCTTATATCTTATTTCCTATCAGTTCTTCCAAGGAAATATAGATCAAGAGGTTTGATGATGTCTCAAGTAAAGCAACTTGTTGAGGAAGAAGGGAGATGGCATGAGTGCATGTGGCTACTTGAAGGTAAAGACCTCTTTCCTGTGACTACCTGAATAACACTGCAATGTTCACCTCTCCTGATGCTTCACAGCTTTTGTAATATGTTTCATATTTGTGTACTGAATCCACATATAACTTGTTCACCTCATCTCAGCCTTTTGAAAAGATGAGCTCATCAGCTGGGTGAGTTGGCTCTCTGTATTTAGAAATCTTCCTATCAGCTCTTTGCCTGCTTTGACAATTGTCCCTACTCTAAGTTTGTCCAACTCCACATCCCAGCCTGGTCCCTTGGCTCTGCTGCTGTGACAACCTGCTTGGTGTCTTCTTCTCTAGGTCTGCTCTGCCTTTTTCTCTGGCCTTCTCCTGTTGGCTACCGCAGGTTAGTCATTTTGTGCTCCATTTCCTCTTGCCTTATTCCATCCCTCATGAGGAAGAAAAACCACAAAAATCCTTATTATTTTCTTTTTTTTCTTTTTTGCTAGTCCTGGGTCTTGAACTCAGGGCCTGAGTGCTGTCCCTGAGGTTCTTTGTTTTGCCCAAGGCTAGTGTTTGAGCCACAGACCTACTTCTGGCTTTTTTGGGGGTAGTTTTATTAGAGATAAGAGTCTCATGAACTTTCCTGCCTGGGCTGACTTTGAACTATAATTCTCATATTTCAGCCTTCTGAGTAGCTAGGCATGAGCCACAGAAATCTGACTAATAAAAGATTTAAAAATATTACTGTGCAAGTTATGACAGTAGCAGAAGGAAATTTTAGAGTCTTGTTAACAGAGATCGAAACTTCTGGTGTGGAGGTTTATGTTCTGGAAAAGGATTTCTAGGTATTAGCTTTGAATGGAATTCACTGAGATAGTTTTTTAGGGGGTGGGGAGATAGTGGTTAGAGGAGAAAAGGAGGAGAAGAGAGAGGACAGGAGAGTGAGAGAAGGAAGACCAATTGGAGACTATTTTACCCTCCTGAGCTGAATGTTCTTTGTTGTCTGACTTAAAGAAGGCAAACAATATAAAATAATAATCTAAGAAAATCCCAAGAAAGAAAATAACTTTAAAAATAGCTCACGTATGTTCAAATAGCTGCTCTATACGATCTGCCTTTTTGAGAACACAAATATATCTTAGAATTGACTTGATGGTTGATGAATGGCAGCTGGGAATTCCCAACCAGGAGGAGGTCACTGGACTTGAAGTTCTCTTGTTGAAATTAAACTAGATGACATTGTGGCCAAATGCAGAAGAAATGGTTTGTGTTTAATCATGACTCCAATATTCAATAGGTTACAAACATCCTAACAAGAGCACCTGCTGAAGAGGAAATGACTGCAGCGTAACAGAAGTCTGCAGTACCCTCAGGTGTATTTAATTGGTTTGGCTTATTGTAGGGGAGACAGACTCTTATTTTCTGAGTACTCTTCCCATTGCATATTGGAATGTGATAAGCAGCAACAAGAGAGGGAGGAAATCTAAAATAGTGTGTAGACACAAATATCTTTAGACTGGAGAAGGGAAATTGATTGGGCTGCTATGGGGAGATAACATCCACCTCCTTTGTTCTATTTCTAAAATCACCAGGAAGTCTTCTGATCTGTAATTTGATTTCCTGTGTAGCTCTACCTACCAGAAGGGAATGTGCAGACAGTTGGCCTGGCTCCTGGACCAAGCTAGATCTAAATGAATACATTGGCATTCTGGAGTAGTAAATCACACTCCAAGGTTGCTTTGCGTGAAGCTGGCTCCAGAGATACATCATCTGTGGACAAGCTTAAAAACCTGGCAGTGGGGTCTAGGAAAGGGCTTTTTGGGTAAGACAAGGACATATGTATTTACAAAGGAAGAAAACCCAAGTTTTTTTTTAAATTCTCAAGGGCACCCTGACACTGAAATTGAAGACTGACTGATATCATGTATGTATTAAAGCTCAGAAGGTACTTGTGCCTTGGGATGACCCTTTCTAGGTACCCACACAGGAAAGTCTTAAAGGCATCAATAATTCTCCTCACACCTTTAACTGTGGTTGCTGTATCCTCTGGGAGTCCAAGGGGCTCAGTTCACTTTGTTGATAGAAGCAAATTATTCTGTTTCCCTGGATAAATATCATAAAAAGTTCCCACAATTATTTCCTCATGTGTGTTCTGATATATCAAGGTTCTCCCACACATGCATTAAATACCGACTGATATTTAGTGATTAAAAACAATCTCTCTGTGTGTGATGGGGGATGAGTTTTAAGAAACACAGGAAGAACACAGGAAGGGTTGAGAAGAACAGATAAGGTAAAACCATCTTTATCTGTGGATGAAGAAAATAATTGCATCTCATTCCATATCTGCTCTGTGTGGCATTGCTTGTTCCATTGCTTTAAAATATTAACAATAATCTAAATGTTTCAGTGTATTTTCACTTTCATATCACATGACAAGAAAATCTTTCTTTTTCTGGAAAGAACAATATTGTGTCCCAGATAGATACAGAGTATCAAGTATTATGATAGCACAAGGGGAACAGCTCATATATAAGTTTTAAATGCTATATGAACATGAGAGATACAAATAAAGAAACAAAAGACCAGCTCATCATTGATGCAGGTCAAAAACATACTGGGACTACTATGTGTAAGTCTTGTGGCATGATCTATTCTGCTGCCAACCCTGAAGATGAACTGCAACATGCCCAATACCACCAGAGATTCCTGGAGGGAGTTAAGTATGTGGGCTGGAAAAAAGAGAGAGTGGTTGTGGAGTTTTGGGATGGAAAGATTGTGTTGATCCTGCCTCATGATCCAAGTTCCGCTCTGAGAAAGGTAGAAGATGTAAAAGAACTTGTGGATCATGAGTTGGGTTTCCAGCAAGTCATTCCCAAATGTTCAAACAAAACTAAAACTTTCCTCTTTGTATCTGATGAAAAGAGAGTAGTTGGCTGTTTAATTGCAGAACCTATCAAACCGGCCTTCCGAGTCTTGTCTGAACCATCTGGCCCAGAATCTTCAAACTCTAAAGAAAGTTCTAGAGCTTGGCAGTGTTCAAATGCACCAGAACCTGCAGTCTGTGGGATAAGCAGAATCTGGGTTTTCAGACTGAAAAGAAGAAAGCGCATTGCAAGATGACTGGTAGACACTGTCAGGAATTGCTTCATGTTTGGCTGTTTTCTCAGCACTAACGAAATAGCATTTTCTGACCCAACACCAGATGGCAAGTTATTTGCAACCAAGTACTGTAACACCCCTAATTTCCTTGTATACAATTTTAATAGTTAAAGCCAATTTTAATGATAAAACTGATGTGACGTGGCAAAGTTCAGGTAGTTCATCATTTGACATTAGCTAACATCAAAATAAACAATTGACTCATGTATCCCCATCAAACTTTGTACCTTGAGTTAGAAAGTCAGAATACATTCCCTGGAAACCATCTAAACTTTACGGAAAGAGAAAAGCGCCTAGATAATACTGAATAGCACTCAGGTTCTTTATTATGAACCATTATAGCTGTAAGTAGAAATTACTTGCTTCCTGTATTCCGAGCATTGACCAAGATAATTTCTACAGAAACAGGCTCACTTGTCCTTTGAGAACTGTTAAACTTTTAGGCTTCAACTATCTCTTGCCCATCAGAAGCCGAGAGGAAAATTAAATCTAAGTAAGTAATTTACCTATTTAGGTTTTCAAGCCAATTCCTCTCTTCCTGATACAGACCTATAGCTATATAATTGAAGGTATTTAGGGTCTTGAATTTCTAATTTATAGTAAGACATGGTAAGGAATGAGTAAAATATCCCTAATTCACTTATGTAGAACAGAATTTGGTAGTTCACTGTTTTAATCTTGTTGCAGATCAAATTGCCCAAATGTACACTTGCTTGAAATTTTAAGTTCTGTTCTGCACTATTCCCTTCATTTCTGTCAAATGAGAATGTTGGCGTGCTACATTAGGGGACTTGTTACTGGTCACTGTGGTCATTAACAGAACCAGATGTCCCAGTGGATGAGGTTGCTCATTAAGAGACTTAACTTGGAAAGCAAAATGTATTTGAGCTGTTTTCATTCTCAGCCATATAACTAAAGGATTTCTTTTTAGGTTGTATTACTCTTCATCTGCCATCTTTATTTAATAGTTAACCTGGTTCCAAAGAGAATGTGAAAGTGTTAAAATGTTTGCAATTATGCCAAAACATCCTAATGCTATTTTCTGCATTGTTTTAAAATTCTTCTAAATGTTTTATTCAAATTTCTATTAGCTTTAGTTTTTTGGTTGAATGCTTTTGTGGTAAGATAATAAAAAGTATTCTTAAAAAAAGTTTTAAATGCTAATATGAAAAGAACTGTGTAGAAAAAAGAAACAGAAAATTAAAATTTTTGCTTTATATTTGTGAGAAGCAGTCTTGCTCAACAACGGTCAAGAATCATATTAAATGCTTCATAAATTCTGGGCTCCAAAAAGCATATATTTCTATCTATTTATCCATCCATCTATCTATCTGAACTTGAGACTGACAAACAGAACTTCTTTTTTTTTTAATTTAATTTTATTTTATTTGTGAACATACTGTACAGAGGGGTTACAATTGCATGGGCAGGATAATGTGCACATTTCTTACCAAGCATTGCAGCCTCCTCCTTTGTTTACCCTTCCCATCCCTTCCCAGCCTCCCCCCTCCCCCCATCCCAATCCTTCTCCTTCCC